CCCCCCCCAAAAAAAAAAAAAAAAAAGATTTGCAAGTTATAGTGGCATTCCTCTTGCTAAGTTGGTTTTCATTCTGGACAACAGTTTTCATTAAAAATATGCTGCATAGTGATAAAATGTTTAAAAATAATAATAAATCATAACAATAATCTAAAAAAAGAAAAACTATTTGCTAATGATGATATGTACAGTAATGTCTTTGTTTTGACTGATATGCATGGTAATCATGCTGGAAAAAGAAATGTTATACACTGTAAAGACATATGTGATTAATATATGTAATATAAAAATGATAAAAATAAATTTTAAAAACTTAAAATATAAAACAATGCTACAGATTTACTTTTAAATTAATTCACACATACTTTAAAATTTTGTTTTAATTTCCAGTAAAATAAGCACCATTTGATAATCGCCAGTGCAAGCAAAGGGTCTCAAGGTCACCTGGGGAAACAGCACCAATAGTAGCAGACATTAATTATGGAACCATAACTCCGAATTTCTTTTTCCTAACTGCTGGGTTGTCGGAAAAGTCATGACGTGGTTTTCTATGCAAAAATGTGTCACGAGGACCAGCAGTTAGCATAATGGCTATGTCGCTGGACTCCCACATAGTCAACTGCAGTTTGAGTCCTGGACCCGATGGCGTAAACTCATGCCAAGTGTGTGTGCGTGCGTGCCCAGTATCCCGAGAGGAGAATAGAGGAGAAGGGACTGTGGCGTGGTCATCCCCCCTGGGGGGTGATTTCTCACTTTCTGTCTCTCTGTCTCTGTCTGTCTTTCTGGTGAGAGCATGTGCTCTATAGCCAAAACCTTCCCTCCCCCCCACCAAAAAAAAGTGTCATGACTTTTCTGATGACTTAATAGTTCATATCTACATGTACAAGCTAGTCAGTAAGAAGACAGTAGCTTGGGGCTGGACAGAGAGGGAAACCTGAACTTTTTTGTGTGACTGTGAGCTTTTTTGCATCAAAAGCAAATTGTAAACTTCACCGTATGCTAATCCATAGAACTAAACCATGGGTGGTGCCTGGCTGTAGTGCTTCAGCTTGTGTACAAGGGATTAATGAGCAGGCAGTTTGTGATACACCTCCTCTATCCTAAACTTTAAAAGCCATATAAGGGAAAGAATAAAGAAGTTAAGAAAAACGAAACAGAACAAAACTGCCCAGTGGAGAAGATAGAGAAAAAACCGAGGATGTTCTGAGACTTCAAAGGTTTCTGAAGTCGGTGTCCATCACAGGCAGCTTCTCGTTCAGTCATGCATTCTTAAATGCCGAAAAAGCTACTCTTTCCAGCAGATCCATTATTACCTGTTTCCTTTCAACTAAAGAGCTGGAAAGCTGGACGCATTTTCCCTCTTCCTTTCAGGGCAGTTGAGGTGGAGAGCCCAATGCAACGCCACCAGCAAAGGTTTACGGAGCAGACAGATGTCGACCTTGGTAGGCATGCGCATGACAACTTGTATCCTCAAGAGATGAGCACATCCTTTGAAATCGGTCTACAGAACAAACGTGATCTTTCCTTCATCGGAAACTCAAAGGACTGTATTATGTTCCCACTATTTCAGGCCTACGTAGATGAGCACTAGTGTACATGGCTTATATCAAGCATTGGAGGAATTAAGATGGATATGGCAATACCCACACCCTCAGGATTATTTATGAAAGATTGAAAACAAACAAAAACAAGATGGACCACTGATTACCTCTCAAATGCATGGAGAGCCGCTAAGCACCTTTACCTCTGGGAACAGATTCATTGAGCCCTCTTTCAAAAGCAGGGTCCTACACCAGCTCCGACCAGCTCATTTCGATAAAATTCAAAATTTAAACCCATACATTAAAATGAAGCAACAGGTTTCTTAAACCGGCAAGTCTGGCTCAACAAAACACTACTTTGGTAAAACACATTAACACAATGTATTTAACTGGCATTTCTCCAAACAATTTTCAATGGAAATACTGCTTTTGACTACTAAATAATGTCATAAGAGGAACCAACAGATGGTGTGGTGATTAAGGCGCTAGACTCCCACAATGGCTGATGGCAGTTCGAATCTCAGACATGGTGGCTTGCTTTCTCCTTTTCCTTCGGTCTCTCTCTCTCTCTCTCTGGTAAATAAAAATAAAAATAAAAATAATAAATGAAATAAAATACATGATTCTTTAAAAAATAATAATGCTGTAAGAAATTCTGGAAACATCTCATTGTAATATTTTTTCTAAAAAAATGTCACTTTTCAAATTGTGGCTTGACCAAGATTTATTTATAGGGATGCTCTTCCCAGGATTATTTTTTGCTTTGGTTTGTTCTGGCTATAAGTCAGAGGACAAGTGTGCATATCAGAGAGAGGGAGGGAAGGAAGGTGAGAGAGAGAAAGCGAGAGAAAGCGACCCCAGTGGAGCATCATTAGGCTGCAATCCCAGAACTATTTTTAAAAGTAAAAGAGTAGCTACCACTAAGGGGAAAAAAATGTATGTTACAACCATAAACAGAACACAATGAAACTATTAAAAATGAAAGAGTAGAAAACTTATTTACATGGAAGAATAATCATTGCATTTAAAGTGAAAAATGGACTAATCTGTACATAGAATTATCCCATTTTGTAAATTAATACATATGCATTTATAAATACACACAAATTATCAGTTGAAGCTAATTATGGGTGAGAGAATTTATAGATGTGTGTGTTCTTCATAATACTTATGAGAATTTAAAAATACCTACAACAAACAAATATCAGTTCCATAATGAGGAAAAGGTATTGTCATTTAGAAAAATAATTCTAAATTCCCAATGAATGCTTTCTTCTACTTTGATAGGTTTGTAAACATCTAAAAACATTTTAAAGTTCTTCTCATTCATAGACAATGGATAATAGAAAAAAAATTTTTGAGAGGTTTTTGCTATAGGGCACATGAGCTTGCCAGAAAGAGAGAGAAACATAGAGACAGAAAGCAAGAAATCACCCCCCCTCCCCAGGGGGATGGCCATGCCACAATCCCTTCTCCTCCCTTCTCCTCTTGGGATCTTGGGCACGCATACACACGTGCCGGCGTGAGTTTAAGCCATGGGGTCTAGGACTTGAACCGTGGTCGACTACATGGGAGCACAACGACATAGCTATTATGCCAACTGCTGGTACTGGATAATATACATTTTTTATGAGAAACTTTTACCCAAGGGTCAAATTCTGCTAGAAAAATAATATTCTCAGCATGAGTTTAATTAAACTTGCAGCTGATAAACATCAAACCTCTCAGGCAACCTGCAACACTTTGGAAGGCAAGAAAAATAAAACTAATAAAACAGTTTTCAACAAGGAAAAAGGACACTGGGGCCTTGCAAGCAATGCTCTTGAGGATGGTGCTATACATGTGAATCCTACACAAACTGATCTTGGCACTAATTCGAGCATACCTGGGTGATACTCAGGTTTCACCCCAGATCGCTCTGTCAGCAGAGAATCCCAGTCGTGGTCTTGGATCCATAAGGATCTGAGAAGAGGGCAACACAAGAGCAAAGCAGTTTTTCTTTTCTTTTTGTAAGCTTTTGCCATAGGGCACGTGCATATGCTCACTGGAGAGAGACAGTGACAATGAAAGTGAGAAATCACCCCCAAGGAAGGATGACCATGCCACAATCCCTTCTCCTCCATCCTCCTCCTAGGATTGTGGGCATGCACACATATGCACCTGGGGTGATTTTTAAGCTGCCAGGTTTGGGACTCAAACCATGGTTGGCCATGTGGGAATCCAGCACCTTGACTACTATGCCACCTGCTAGCCCTGAGAGCAAAGCAATTTTAAATCTGGGTAGGGGCTAATGAAAAACAGATTGTGGACAGTAAAGGTTCAAGGCTGAGACAATGGTTAACCCTTCGCTTTTGGCTGAAATGTTTCTGATTCCCTGTGATTGCCATCCCACTCTTATTCATTTTAAGTTTAGAGATAATTATGGAGACAAATCACCCTGTAAGGTACCTCTGAGGATGACAAGACAGGTGGCAGGGATCCAGGTGGTATGCAAAGTGCAAAGGGCCAGCAGGGCCAGGTGGACTCTGACAGCACTAACCTGATGACCTGGGGCATGGAGAGGGGAGGAGAGACGGCGATGTTAAGTACGAATCCAAGCAATTCTCATCCGCACACTAAGATCTAAAATAAATAAATAAATAAATAAATAAATCATCGCCAGCTGCTGCAGTCCAAGTTGCCAGTTCTTCTCTTCTTCCCATCTGCTGGTGCACTGATTCAGCAGCTCAGCTCTGGACACCTGCTTCTAATAAGGCGACATGGTCCTCAGCGGCCTCAGCCCAGGGACACCATCCCGTTGTTGGGTCTCACTGAGAGAGCTGTGGAGAGCACGTAATCTGACTGTTTGGTTCTACTCTAAACTCCAGGGAAACAGTGTCCTGAAAAGCTGATAAAATGTTACACTTTCCCCAGACATAGATTGTACAATTTCCTCTTTTATATGAAAAACAAAACAAAACAACCAAAAGCCTCTTAAATGTCTTTTCTATATTAACGTCTGTCTGGTTCCTCACCGCTGCCTCCCTTAACATCCTTAGGGACTACTTGTACTCACTGCACCTTAAAATTTGCTTCCCACTCAACAGTTAATCCCATCTTTTCTTTTTGACAACTGTGTGTTCTAAACATAATTTTTCAATATTCATCTTTTTTAAAAAAAGCACAGAATGACTATTAGTACACCATAGTCGAACACTTAAATATAGTAATTCAATAGCAGCATTTTTATTTTTTTTAAATCAATTAATCATTTGAGATTTTTCCCTCTTCCTATTATTTATATGAAGAAGCTCACATGGTATGAAACATCTTTTTTTAGTTTAAATGTCTAGTTGTCAATCCCTCTGAAAGGAGAGTGGAATATACAAGCCACTTTGGCCCTCTCTGCTTGGCAAGCAATTGATCTCTCTGTCCACCCACAGCCCTATGCTGATTAATTACACAGGCCACGCAGTGAGGCTCCATTAGGCTTGGCTGTGCACGTCATCGATGCGGATGGACGCACTTCAAGACAGTCGCCGTGAGAGGCTACGCTGCCAAGGATCAGAAACTAAGGGCTAGCCTGAACACTGCCAGCCTTCTTGGCCCCCGAACTTCACAAACTTGAAAAATTCCAATTAAAGCCAGAGTGTGTGGCCCAGTTGCTGTGGTGCAGCAATGGCACATAGCTCTGGAATGCCAGAAGCCATGTGGAAGATCAGGGTTCGGTTCCCAGGTAAACTGAGGTGCCATGTGCCTGTGGTCCTGGTCGGCTGGGAAGGCTGGGTGGAGGAGGGGTGCAGAATGAGATCCTGTTGAGAGTATATCTTTCTTGCTCCCTAAATAAATAAAGTTAAAAACAAACAAAAAACCACTTTACTCGACTTAACAAAGTAAACTTACATAATGGGATTTCCCAGGATGTATTTTTAAAAAATTTGAAAAGGACTGATCAAACCTGACTTATGACTTAAGCCCCATTATTCAGAATTCCTAAGTATATTTCCTCACTTCTTAGTAGCTATTGATGGCAAAACATTATCATCTATTTATTAACTTTAGAAAAAAGAACCCCACCACAGGACAGGTACAGATTGGCTCTCAGACTAACTAGGTCTCCAAAAAAATTAAAATGTGGGACTAGCAAGCAGGAGGCATGGTGATTAAAGAACTGGACTCCCACATGGCCAACTGTGGTTCAAGTCTCAGGTCCTGTGGCTTGAAAGGTACACCAGGTGCGTATGTGTGTACGTGCCCAAAAACCCCGAGAGCAGAATGGAGGAGCAAGGATTGCAGCAAGGCTTAAAGGGTGATTTCTCGCTTTCTGTCTCTCTGGTGAGTACACACACTCTAAAAAAGAATCTCTCAAAATAACAATAATAATAATAAAATGTGGAAAAAAGGCAAGAAAATGTGACAGTTTTTTAATAAAGTCCAGACTATTATACTTTGGAATGCACGTATACTAAGAAAGTTAAATATAATTAAGAAACCCAATTATATTCAATAGAACTATTTCAAAGTGCTTTTTGTGTAAAAGCCCGCTTTTCAAAACTCTTTAAAATAGTTCTATTGAATATATGCCCTTATCCAATTTAAAGCCATTTGGAGATTAGGCCTTATTAATTTCCTTTGAGTAATAAAATACATTAAACTTCCCTATTCCCATGATGTTTATGGGAACAGGATGTCATTTTATTAATGAATAATTTCACACAATGAATGAGCGGGTTCAATGATTCATTGATGGTCACAAGGACCATGGGACAGCATGAGACTCTCAGTAATGTAACTCTCTCTGGGCCCCATTTTCCTCTTTTATTAAGCATGGATAACAGATGCTCACACTTACGTGTGCATGGCAGGGTCTTAATAATCATGCAGAGCTACAGATGGAAGCCGGTGGTATCATTATTCTTTGTCATAAATAAGGGAGCATAAAATCCACACAGGAAAAAAAATACAGCTAAATATTTAAACTTTACAGCCATTTAGAGAAAAGTCAGTCAGAAATTGTACAACAAAGAAAGCACTCACATTCTGGAAGACCCAACTGATCTGAAGGCACCACAGAGAAGCAATTGAGCAGACAGGCTCAGTAGATTACTCTTAACAATAGCTACTTAGAAGTAAGGAAGCAGAGTGCAGCGGCATCTTAATCCATCATGAGCATTTCCAGGCAACACATTCTGAAGCTTAGTAAACAGGGTGCTCCTCAGACAGCATTCACCCGACTGCTACCAGCTGAAAGAGGAGTGACTCAAGTTTTAAACAAATTTCTTAATGACTCATGAAACAGAAGCATGGCAAATATTGGTTTGTCAGGAAAATCATGATGTATTTTGGCATAGAAAAACATGTCATGACTTTCCTGACAACCTAATAGGTACTTTTCAACGTGACCCTGGGGAAAGCCCGCAACTAGGTGAATGCTAACTTATGGAAAGCTTATCGGCTGAGTGAACATTTGCCGGGTACTAACACTGTAAGGTCTAAGCCTGGACTTACACTTAAGTGTACATGGCAGGGTCTTAATAATCATGCACACACACACACACACATATACCATGATATATGTATATACATATATCTACATAAATATATATATGAAAAGTCTAAAAACTATTCTAAAATATTAATAATAGCTAAGTTACAATTTCTTTTTAAAGACAGGGTTCTTACTAAGTCATGATCCTCCTGCCTCAGCCTCCTGAAGTAACTGGTACTACGGATGTACACTCACTTTTAGGGTACACTGGGGCCCCTCCCCCATCCAGGTCTCAATGTAGCCTTAGCCTGCTGAGTAATAGCATCTACTAGCACACTGCCATGGCTGGGATCACTTTTTTCTTTATACCTTTCTTTTTTTTCTTTTTTAGAGATTTCGCCTTAGGACGCATGTGTTTGCTAGAGACAGAGAGAGACAGACAGGACAGAGACAGTGAGAAGGAAAGTGAGAAATCATGCCCGGGGGGATGGTCACACTGCAATCCCTTCCCCTCCATTCTCCTTCTGGGTTCTGAGGTGCACACACACATGCACCTGGTGTGAGTTTCAAGCTTACCGGGTCAACAACTTGAACCACAGTCAACCATGTAGGAGTCCAGTCATGTAAGCACTATGTCATCTGCCGGCCCCTTCTTTTTTTTTTTTAATAAGTATTGTGGAAGGATTTATTTAATATTATTATTTTAAATTTTGCTATAGGGCATGTGTGCATACCAGAGAGAGAGAAAGCAAGCTGCCAGGTCTGGGACTCAAACTCTGGTTGGCCATGCGTTGAGTCCAGTGCCTTAACCATCATGTGACCTGCTGGTCCTTATAATAACTATTTTACAGTTAAAAATTTTTTAAAGTCTTCTATTAGAAACAATCAAATCGAGACAGACATTTACAAACAATTCAATACTAGCAGACATAGAAGTCACACAGATCTAGCTATGAATTCCAGATCTGCCATTTCTGGAGCTTTGTAACTCTGAATAAACTGCTTACCTGTGTTCGTTCATCTCAAGTCCTCACATGTAAAGTGCTTAGTGCAAACTGTATACAGGGTATCTCAATGAATGATTACTGCATTTAGCAGTTTCTAGCACATCTAGTAAAATGTTAATCACCAGCGATGTGTGGTATGTGGGAGATGGGCCAAACAATCAAATGCTGTTTCCTTCCAGGGTGACTGTGTTCACAGTACCTAATTGACAGCAGTGGCAAACTGAAAAGCTCTGAGAACCAGCTATCTGAACAGCACAGGACAGGCCCCTCTGCTCCTGGCCTGAACATCAGGTTAGATAATTAGGTTCAGTCCTGCTTCTCTTGCACCATAATCCAAGGACATTTGTTCTCTCTACATGGTCCGGGTGGAACACTGTCAAATACGGAAGGTCACAGAATCAAAGCAAAAATCAGAATCAAAAGCATGATTAAATGACCGCTTAAATGATGGCATGATTAAAACCCTCCAAGTTTTCAGGAGTGACGAAGATTCTCTTCTTGACTGAACTTTGGTCAGGCTCATCGGATGCATCCTCACAAGGCCACAGCCTTGGCCCCCAACCTCTTCTCTCAGCAGGAGTCTTACTAAGGCAATGTAGTAAGAACCTCCAACGTCAATATCTCCCCCTCAGTCTTTAATGTGTAAGTCCTTGGCCCGCTTTCAGCAAGAATCCTGATAGGTCAGTTTAGTTCAGTTTGGTATCACCTTTTGGTAACTTTCCACTGACTCCTTGCTTTGCTCCTTGGCTATAAATCCCCAGATGTTTTTGTACTGGAACTGAGCTTGACCTTGCAATTATTTTGAAAAACATCCTCTCTACCACTTTAGAATAATGTTTTTGTTTAACAGCATGTTATGGATCAAGGTCTTAGAGCTCAGGTACAGAGCTAATCACATTGCTGGCTGGGAAGAGACCACTTGCTTCCCTAGTATGACTTTAAGGTTCCAAATACCAAGATTCCAAATTGTTCAAAAGTAGTAAGACACTAAACTCAAAACAAACAAACCCCAAGTGCTGGTCTCCTTGAACCTTAATAGTCCATGGTTTTGTTTTCATTTAATTTCATAGAAAGACACCAAATGATTGGGAGAATGATTATGCTAAAAAATTCTCCTGAGGCTGATGACTCTATCTTGTTGCATTACGGATCCAGGATAGGACTGAGGCTTGACACATAGTAGGAGTATAACAAATTTATCAACTGAGTAGGAGAAATATGGAAGCAGGAGAACATTTATTTCCTGAAAGAGGATAAGCATCAATTCAAGGGGAAAATTTGAATCTGTTTAAGTAAATCAGAGACAGCTATATTTTGCTTTTGAAAATTTCTACCAAACATGAAGAATAGTAACTTTTCCCTCTCTTGAGGAAAAAGTGTGTGTGTGGGGGGACCAGCAGTTGGTGTAATGGCTATGTTGCTGGACTCCCATGTAGTCGACTGTGGTTCGAGTCCCAGACCTGGTAACTTCAACTCACGCTGGGCACGTGTGCGTGCGTGCCCAAGATCCCGAGAGGAAAATTGGTGCAGAAGGGATTGCGGTGTGGCCATCCTCCCTGGCCACACTGTCTTTCTGGCGAGTGCATGCACCCTATAGCAAAAACCTCTTAATCAATCAATCAATCAATAAATCAATAGCTTTTCCTGAAAAAATAATATATTTTTAGAGAACTTGCAGTTTTAAGTTACCATTGGCATTACTACAGCCATAATTAGAAAGCACCATGAGGTTGCCTAATGGTGTATCAGTATTCTGTGAAGCAGGCAGACCCACATGGGAAGGTTCAGGGTTCACGTACAGAGGCCTTCCTGAGGATGCTGGGTAAGTTTGTGCCCATAATCTGGAGCTGGCTGAGGCCAGGGGTGGATCACAGCATCAAGACCGAGTTGGGAGTGCTTTCCCTCTCTTCCTGTTTCTATTGCTCATGGAAGAAAGAAACATTAATGAATGGACTTACCCAAAAAAGCTCTACAAAGGGGAGTGATACCAGAGAGGATGCAGTCCACCTAAACCAGGGCTGGAACAGCCAGAAACTCACCCCACGGAATGTGAAACCCTTCACTTGAAGCACCACCAGTCTTAGAAGGAAGCAGTGCATTTTCCCAAGAAAAGGGACACCCTAGGAACTCCACCTCAAAGGAGACAGCTTTATTATACTGTTAAATATGAAACATGAAGGAAAGCATGGCTGATGTTTTAAAGCAGAAAATATCTTCTGCAAGTTACCAGAAAGGTAGGTCAAATATCTTGGGCTCTCTGAACTTTCGAGTTATCAGCAAGTGTGTGCTATGGAGAGAACTGTTAAATGAGACCCCCACCCATTTCTCTTCCCCCTCACACAAGAAGGGGAGAACCCTCAGGTTCTGCAGTTGCAAAAGGCAAGCAGGAAGTTCCCAAGCAGGAGCTCTGCACAGAGATATCTGTAAGAGGGATGGATGTGCCCGGGGACGTTCCAAAGGAAAAAGAAAGGCCAGGAGATTTCTGAAGTTTGGGGCAAAGAAGAAACAGTGGCTTCTCTGTTATTACTACCACACTAATGCTATTTATTGGTAATTGGTTCCAATGACTGGGGAGACAGAATGGCCCACAGATTCCAAAACAAATCCAAATACTTGTAGACTGTTTGTTGAATTTAAGTAAGTCTATTTTATCAAAATGTCACAATTTCGAAATCTCTGATACACAAAGAAATTATGTAATGTATATTCAACGAAAACTCTCAAAGTAGCTTTTTTGTGTGTAACTATATCTTAGTTGTACTTTTAGAAGGAAGGCATTCAGGAAAAAAAAAACAAAAAAAAAACGAGGGCCAACAGGTGGCATAGAGGTTAAGGTGCTGGATCTTACATGGCAATGTGGTTCTGAGTCCCAGACCTGACAGCTTAAAAATTATGGCTGGCATGTGTGCGTGCAAGCGTGCCCCAAATCCTGAGAGGAGCCTGCAGGAGAAGGAATTGCGGTGTGGCTATTCCCCCTGGAGGATGATTTCTTTCTCTCTGGTGAGTGCTTGCACCCTACGGCAAAAATGAAACAAAATCAAAACAAACAAAAAGAATTTTATAGTTATATAACCTAAGTAAAATTATGCTGTAATTATACTTTGTTCAATTTATATAACAGACTTATCCCTGACTAAAAAAAAAAAAAAAAACAACCCTGGGACATGATGCTTTAATATACAGAATATTGCTGTTCAACATACAAGCATCCTTTGGCATCGTCTTCTACTGAGAAGAGTTTGTTTCATAAACAAACTCCACATCCACCTACATCTCCAAGTCCAACTGTTCATCCATAGGAGAAAAGCTAGGCAAAAAAAAAAAAAAAAAAGTGTAATGGGTTCCTAACCTTTTAAGTAAATCGCCCTCCAGGTTCCTGCAGTACAGGGACCACTTGGGTGGTATTTAAGAAAGGATGCATTGATGGCTGCCCTCCAGCCTCTGGTCAGACTGGGAGCAGACCTACAGGCTCAGTCAGTGAGTTCAGAGCGGAACTTAATGAAACCTGTTAATGATTGTTTTTACAAAGACTTCAGCTCAGCAGATATTATCTATAACTGCAGTACTTTACAACCAAGCAAATACTCCTTTATCAAGTGGCTTACCTTCTCAGCCACAGTGCTAAGCCTTTTGAGGAGCCAGGAAATTCCATCCAGCCCAACGCTGAATGGATAAAACAAAGTCTTCAGTTCCTGCATAGTCCAGTCTTCCAAGGCTGGCATATAGCTATAGCTCATTCTCTGGTTCAAAAATGTATAGAATCTCTCCTTTTGCAAAGGATTAATGAGAAGTGGCACAAAACAGGCCATTTGTCCTTCATATTCCCCCTTTATTTATGATAGAGTGCATGAAGGTGCACATACAGGGAGCATCCTGCACAGGCTCTGGTCACACCACGATCCTCTTCCTCCAGTTCTGTGCCCATCAGATCTTGAGCACTCAAATGCAGGTGTCCAGCATGCTCGGTTGTGCCAGGTCAGTGTCCTAACTGGGGTTGCCATACATGATCTGTCTTCTCTCCACCTGCCCCCTCTAACCATTACCCCACAGGGCCAGCTCTCTCAACTTTTCATCCACCCAAAAAAGTTGGTCAACACTAAAGCACAACTCTCCTCTTCCCAAGCTCTCAATCACCAAGTGATGCCAATTCTTTCTCCCAAGAAGGCTTGGATTATAACTCACTTTCTTTTTGGAGAGGTTTTTGCTATAGGGTGCACGTGCTCTCCAGACAGACAGAGACAGAAAGCGAGAAATCACCCCCCCAGGGGGGATGGCCATGCTGCAATCCTTTCTCCTCCATTCTCCTCTCAGGATCTTGGGCATACACGCACAAGCACCGGCATGAGTTTAAGCTACCGGGTCTGGGACTCGAACTGTGGTCAGCTACATGGGAGTCCAGTGACATAGCCATTATGCTAACTGCTGGTCCCATGACTCACTTTCTAAATAGGTCAACAACTGCCTTTGATTCAGGCCTTGGCTCCCCAGCACCCTACTTATCTCTACTCTGGACACTCATTCTACCTCCCTTTGTAACTTCTAGAATCAAGAGAAGAGAAATGTCTTCCTCCCAGTAGATCCTATGGGAAAGGCAGCACTGGGGGGCCAGCAGATGACAATGGTTATGTCACTCGACTCCACGTCTTCAAACTGGGTCCAGTTTCAGTCCTGGACCCAGCAGCTTAAAACTCAGCTGGGCGTGCATGCATGTGTGCCCATGATCCCGAGAGGAGACTGGAGAAGGGATTGAGATGTGGCCACCCCCCCTGGGGGTGATTTCTCACTTTCTATCTCTCTGGCAAGGGCACATATCCTATGGCAAAAATCTCTCTTGAGGAAAAAAAAAAAAAAAAAGACAGCATTACTGGCTGGGTCTTCTGATCACAACCAAAGTTCCTACTTGCCTTTCTCCTTCCTTCCCTATTTCAGACATTGTGATTATTCAGGATGTATTTTTGCAGGATGATAAACCGCCATTCAAGGTTTGAGGAAGTGGTGCAGTAAAGCATCTGACAGGAACAGGGGTGAGGAGGAGGAGGTGGCAAGACAATGCTAGGTGGCCATTCCTAGGTACAGATGGAGGCACCACAGTTTAAGACACTGTCGAGAGTTTGTGTTGTGGTCTCTGAAATTAGACTGTGTGGGTTCAGATGCAGCTGTTACTAAGGTGGTATGACCCTGAGGAAGTTGCCTAAGCATGGGGTGCTTCTGTGTCCTCACATATAAAATGGAAATGAGGTGACCTACCTCCTAAGGTTATTGCAACACTCAGAAGATACAATGTAAACCTGAAAACAGTATAAGCACTAATGAGTAAGTGTTACCTATGTTAGTTATTATTAATACTGTGCAAATATTTCAAACAAGTGAGGTCATTCTCTCTGCATTCATTAGAACAATGCACATGACATAGTGTTTTGTGAAAATGCTACAGAATAACATGGTTAGTATGACCCTATTTAGGGAAGAAAACAAACACAGGACATGTACTGATAGGTGCCCAGAAGTCTGCAGGCGAACACCTCCCCTGAACACCAGATGACAGTCACCCCAGAGAGTGCCAGTGATGAGGGCAGGCTGACATTTTTGTATAGGTCTTTACTTTTATTAACATGCATGTACCACTTTTGTAATTCAGTTTTAAATTTAAACATTTTACGGTGGCCTTCCTAGCCTTCAAATTGAACACTTGGCACCTTGCCCTAGTTTAGGACAATATAAGCTTCTTGCAGAAGAAGAAACTGAGGCCCTAGTAGATGCGGGAGAGACTCTAAGCACTACCCCTCCTGCAAGTCTTGTAGATTGCCTTGCATTCTCCACAGCCTTGGTCACATCCCAAGCCTACCACAGGCATCCAAACATTCTCAAGTGGGGCTTTCTTTCCTTTCCTTCCTGTTTAGCTGAGGTTTTCTTTTTATTGTGTCCAAGTAGCTTCCACCCTTTACGTTGCTTTTTTCTTTTCTTTTCTTTTTTTTTCTCCTATTTTGTTGAGTTTGCCAGAGAGACAGACAGAGAAAAAGAAAGCAAGCACTTCCCCTCCCTCCCTCCACGAAGGATGGCCACAGAGCAATCCCTTCTCTTCCATTTCTCCTTTCAGTACTTTGGGGGTGCACGTGCAGTCCCTGCTGTGTGGCCATGAGGGATCCAGCTATACTAGCCACCATGCAACTGGCTGGCCTGCCTTCAGGGTTTGAATGTTCATACATCCTTCCCAACTTCTTCTCCATTTGCCTGTCTTTCTGGCCCTTGGACAAGCGCCCTTGCCCCAGGAAAATCCACTGAAGTGACTAGAAGCCGGATCATTCAGGCACAAGGGCCCCTACCTACCCGACTATAGGACGGATATGCCTCCAAGTTCTTTTCGTCTTGCAAAAGGTCCAAATGGACTTTTAAACAATGCTTCTATTTCAGTCAAGAACCAGGGCTTGGTGTGCTTTGGCTAGTATCTTTTCCTCCGTTAGGTCTTTCCTCCCATGGGTGTTTATTTTTGCTCTGCTCTCTTTTGGAAGTAACAAAGCTATTTTATACCTTCCCAGCTCCCAAGAATCTCTTTGACGCTGGTCTTCTATCATGTGCTAGATTTGACTGGTTTCGCTCCCACAGCTCACTTCGGCCTCATCATCTTTCACACTCCAGTCTCTCCCCATTCCCAGAGGTTTTCTGTTTCGGCCCGTGGAGAACGGCTATGGAATGAATTGAGATTCCAGAGAGCGCGCCTTCCGAGCCATCTCTCCCCGGAACCCGGAGCGTGGGGAACCAAGCCTGCGCCGGGGTATCCGGGCCACCAGAACAGGGTCAGCATCGAGTCGCCCAGGCATCGGGAGAGCTGATTGGTTCTAGGCTGAGCCAATCAGCGAGCGAAGCCGTGCACGGCTAGGGGAGGGCGGAGAGCACAGAGATGGGGTTAAAGGAAAAGGCGCAGGTACGCCAGGCACCAGGGTGCACTTTAGCACCCACAGGTCATTACAGACCCTGAAATGCTGAGGCAAATCCCCCCGTCCTAGTTCCCTGCTTTTGTAAGAATAAAAGGAGGTGCTGGGGGAAAACATTGTTTATGCTACCATTCATAAGACGGTTATTAACAGTCAACCGAGAAGTGGCCATGAAGGGGGGAGGGGCGCTGAAACCCTCCCTTTCTCCCTTCCCGGTTCCACTCCGAGTCGTCAAGCCGACTCTGCCGGCTCTTGAAAAAGCACATCACTCCAACGCTCGCCTAATCGCCAAAGCTGATTACCGAAACGCTATATATTAGCACTCAGAATAAGTTTCCCCCCTCCCCAAGGACTGGGGAAATAGTACTGGCATTTACCGAAGGCGCGGCGTTTTACTACCTGCTAAAGGAGAAGCGCATGAACCCGTGGGCTGGAAGTCACAGAAACCGAGACCTTTCGAAATGTACAACCATGCACACCGCCGGGGCCACCTTCTGGGATGGGACAACCGCCCACAGGCGCAGCGGCAGCTCCTCCAAGTCCCTACCCTCACCAACGCTCCCAACCGGGGGAGAAAGAGCTCGGGGTGGGCGCACAGATCGTCGGATTCCCCCGCCGCGTCCAAACTTCGGCAGAGCTGCTGTGCCTACTTTTCCCCAAGCGCCGCAGCCCCGGATCCACAGACCCGTGCAACCCTGGCTTTCCCACGGTCCGGCGCAGCCACCTTCCCTCATCCACCCGTACCCGGGCTGGAGACGCCGCGTCCTTGGGGTTGGGGGAAGGGAGAGCGGCAGGAAGAGGGAAATGGCCAGTTAAGTACAGAAGTCCCCGCTGAGGCCTGGACGCCGGCGGTAAGTGGAGAGCCCGGGGGAGAACCGCAGGTAGAGAGCAGGGGCTAGAACCGTGCGGGGATGGGCCGCGAGGCCAGGGGTGCCGCCAGCGTCGCTGCACTCACTCTGCGTAGCCAGTGGCCCAGGGCAGCCGCTGGGTCTCCTTGAGGATGAGGATGGGGCGGGCGATGTGGTCGGCGCTGCACTCCACCTCGTCCTGAGACAGCCCCAGGAACTCCGGCCGCCCGTAGGGGAAGCGCAGCGGCAGGGGGCCGGCCCCGCCGCCCCCCCCCCCCCGCCCGGCG